ATGATGATGGCAGGGGTTCAGCAGCGAGAAAAGGAGGAGAGTCTGAAAAGTAAGCACAATTACTGATCATTTTTACAATTGCTGATTTAGATTCCGATTCATACTCTAAAATAGGAGGGCTAAAATTCTGTATTCAACCCCTATAAATAAACTACACAAGATGATAGTGAGACTGTGCGTAGAGAGCTAAATGTGCAAGATCGACATCTTTGCTAGTAAAAGACTTAGCATTTTCTTCTTGAAGAAAGTACATCTCTACTTTTGGACAAAAGAATGCAACACATACAAAGAATGGAAAATCGCCATCGAACAAAAGCCATGTTCCACCATTCAAGTATCTGAACAAACAAGCATGTGATTGGTAGCAGTAGTGAATAGTATGCATAGATGTGTAGGCAAGTAACAAAGATTAGCGAAAGGGAAACAAATTATCCAAAAGAAGAAAGGTTTTATATATTTTCAACGTACCCAGCCATAAAATCATATGCTTCTCGATTAACAAAATGAACACACAATTAAGTAGGCATAGGAGGTGCACAATCATGTACCGACAAAAAGCAGAGATGGACAGGGATCAAGTTCATCCATCCATCTTCAAAAAGAGTTCTGAGTTCCGCATATATATAGAGATATAGATACTGGTGTTCTGAAAATAGCTCTTCTTAATTCTGCATTTCTCCTAGGTACATCTATAAGAAATGCAGAGTGAAGCTGATATTTCCTTTCTATCCTCACAAATATTTTATTTTCAAGCCAATAATAAATTTAGATTGCTACTATTATAATTAGAGTACTTATATCAGAGATATTATGGTATAAGCACTTAATAAACTGCTATCAAAGAAGCATACATGACATAATGGGTATTTTGTTGCCTCAACAATTAAAAAAATAGAGCAGTACAAATCTTTAAAGGAAAAAGGCAAACCGAACTTGCAAACAGTGTGGGTTCCATGAATTTGCACAGAATATAGACAAAGAAAAAGAAACTAAATTCAGACCACAGAACATGGCAAACCATGGAGAAGGAAAATCAGGAGATGCCAAAATCATTCAGCAATTTTGTCCCTTGGACCAAGAAGCAAAGACAATTTACTTATATACAGTATACGACCAAGAGCTTGCAGCAGGGTAATGAATAAAACAGAACTGCAAGTCTGCAAGAAAGAAGCATATTTACCTTATTAGTTTCCATTGGATTTCTAAGCTACAAAAAGTTGTTACATTAATGCTCTCAAGATTGGTAGGTTGTACCCTTTTCATAGTGTGGTGAAACTATAATTAAATGAACTTTAGTTGCATAGCTCTTGCAAGAGTATCACTTCATGTATGACCAATTGGAATCCTTGCTCTGTACTTAATAATTCTGCACTCCAAATAGCTACAACCCTCTACTGAATTTTTTTAACCAAGAAGCAATAATGTGACCATAATTAATGGCAAAAAATGTTCATTGCTCGTGTTAGAAGGATAAAATAACTACCTTTGGTAGGTACTTCAACTATGAAAGATCATGTAATAATTAGTGATTTACCTGAGAGTAAAAGGGTCGCAAGTATATTCATTAACTGCCCTCGTACAACCTGCAAATTGATTATGGAATGAGTTTCTGACGGGAAATAAAAAACACACAACACAAAAGAACAGTAGGTACCTGACATAGCTCCAGCGTGGTAAACTTTTTTGAGTGCTTCCAGTCATCTTTGGTGTCTTACTCGTGTCTGGCCATTGCCCTGCTCGTCAAGGTCACCTTTGCACCACCACTCACGGCAAGGCTCATGTACCAAGTATGCTCCAGCTGCCAACAGACAAGCAATGTTGCGGAAACCAATTGAGGCATTTTCACTAAGTAAAGCTACAAAACCATTTAGTAAAATCCAGTGGAACTATCCTACTACATGACTGAATCAATGAAACATAACAGGAGCTGCAGAAGCCACTCTAGATCTTTTTCACAAACCAAAGGTAGCATTTTAGGTACTAATTAACCCTGGGGCATATATTATCATTTAGTCAAATAACTGAATCAATGAAAATTGATAGGAAGAGAAGGAATGGGGGTGTTTCAGAACCATGGCTACACATACATGGCATACATCTGAAAAAGGGAAAATGAACAGCCTAAATACATACTTGAAGGAAACAAGATAAAATAAACTGATGTATGAACTGCAATGTGATGAGATTATTAGTAGACATGATAAAATACGTATGTACAAGTCATTATTTAATAGATTATGAATAGGAAGAGCTTGGAAACAAGGATGAAATTAAATCTGGAAAGGAAACAAGAATAAATCAAATCTGACTAAATCCACGAGAGTACATGTGAAGAGAGGGAGAGAGAGAGAGGGGCAAGAAGCACGTGATTAACTTTTGATTCATATGGTGTGCTGCCTGTGTGTAACAAGAAAGAGGGGTCGGAGAAGAGAGAGAGG